ACATATTAATATATATACATATATATATTACCATATATATAGATTATATATATATATATATAATATATAATATATATATAATTTTATTTATACATATACATACACACACTTATATATCTTTATATATATATATATACATATATATATATATATATATATTAATATATGCATACATATATATATATATATATATATATATATATATATATATATATATATATATATATATATATATACGCCCACACACACGCTAACACATACACCGTCGAGAAGATGTCGTTTTTATATGAAGAACAATTTGGCTTTCTTTTCTTACACATTCGTAATCTTTTCACATTCATTCTAGAATGGTAAAACCCACATACTGAGGATAATTCATTTGAACTGAACTTTGTTTCATTATAGTAACCACCCTATTAGGGGCTAGTGGAATAAACCTCTTGAAATACGGGCTTCTTACTTTGCGCAAAAATGACTCGGCTTTCGTGCTCATAATCGAACCTTTAACCCTTTTTTGAGGGTTAAATAAACGACCAAATACGCTGCTGGAGAGAGTCTTAAGCACAACTGTAGCGCTTTATCTGTTTCCTCTCTCCGAGCTCTGATGTTGGTGTTAATAAAGGGAGCTAAGTACTCACTCTGCGAGAACTGATACACATCGTGAACTTTTGACACGTAATCCGAGCTTCATTAATAGCTGAAGCAGTCTAACACTAATAAAACAGTGGCTCTGAGCCATGTGAGACGCAGCTAATTTGCTGTTCCTATATTTTCTCTGCGAGGCAAGGAAAGATCTATTATACGGCGAGAGATGTTCTTTGCCGATTTTCATATGGTGAATAATCAGGGGCAGGTTGTCCATCATTCTAGCTACTTCATCTTTAACCTTTTCAATGTCTACAACCACCCAGTGGCCAACTTCACCATTCTGATCGTGATTTTGCAGACCTATTTGAATAAAGCGGTCCCTCTCGAGGATCTGAGATACGACCTAGCTTAGTTTTAGTCGTTAATAAGAACGCGTCATATGCATATCCTTGTAGGCTAACATGAACATGTCAAGGGAATATTTCTCTTTGAGAATAAAGCTCCAACGACTAAAAACGTCAGCCAGCAGACCAACATCTAAGCGTAAATATAGCTCCATATAATCTGACAGTGTTTGGCAACTAGCCGCGTCCACACCCGTCTGGCGTGTGCGTATTCTGTGATGGTCTGCCTGGAAAATGAACTGTAAAAACATTCTATAGGCGGAAGGGAGGTTTCCCACAGTTTCTCGATAGAGTTAATGTATTCATAAGGGGAGAACTGCTTACCAGTAAGCAATAGCTCTTGAGCATTAGCGGGCAGATGTTGAATGAGGTGTTTACTGTAGTAAAGAGGTTGACCGCTCTCAATGTGGGATTTAGCCAGAGAGGATAAGCTTGCACTCATAAATGCACAGCTATCGATAAATCTTAACTTGTCTATTTTGACAATAGAATTTCGGTCCCTGCTTTACATGCATGTTGATCCTCACATCCTGCTTCATCTCCTTTAAAACTAGCCCTAGATCGTGCACAGTACGCCCCTATGTAGTTTTGGTGTTTGAGTGTGTGGTCGTGATGTCTGTGTTTGTTCTTTGACTTTGGAAATTTAGATTTACAGAGATGGCACTAGCTCTTTGAAAAGCTATCTCGTTTGCCTCTGACATCGGTAAAGGTTAGTATGGCATTGTTTTATGAATATTACTCCATTCAGCGCTTAAGGATTCCACAAAGTTAGTCGCTGCATCACTACCACTATACACCCGACTGTTAACTATTTCTCCTGAAGTGACGTTGCCACCCCAGGACATTTGACTCCCGGGGTGGATTTTGGATTCTCTGGGGGGTCGCGCACTCGCTCGTGTGATTTTCTACGTTTTTCTGTGTTGGAAATGGTGACAGACAGGTGCGACAATAATGTTTGAGGGCACTTCTCCCTCTTTGCCAAAAAAGGTCCATAAAGCTATTAAAGTTTTTTTTTTTTTTATGAGAGCGCAATGCTCATTGTTTAAGAGCAATGAATGCACCATGTCTCTATCTTTACTGACCTTCCCTTTGCGAACTTGAGATATATTATATTTGTTACTGTTATTACCTACCCCTTTCTGAAGCGCGTGTACAGAGATAGAGCTTGTTTTTATTTTCAAGCTGACTTAGACAACCCCATGCCACAGGGATCTGATCACTATCAAATTTTATGTAACGCGCGCATTTGTCTCGGGTGTAGACACGAGCAGGTCTAAGACATGTTTTTGCAATACCGGACCTAGCTAATCGGTCCCATGCCAAGCACTGAATAACGCAGTCGGTATTAGACCGCGGATTAAAAACATGTCTTGACTCACGAACACCACTTGGATAGGGTACGGACTTCCCTATAGCCTGTGGCATGAGAAGCCGAGCTGTGTAAATGCGATGATCGAGTATATCTTCAATGTCAAACCCGCTTCCCTCTTCAGTTGCAAGTTCATCAACCCTCACTGCTGCCTCCTCAATCCAACGTCTGATTGTGTTTCCACAATCGACATCGCTTGCGATAACATGACTGCCGAGGGTGATATCTCTTTCGACAATACGAACATCATCTGTTTCAAAGTCTACTTTACTTTGCCTTAGCTTAAAGCTAGTACGTGATTTTAGGGTATTCGGTGGATCATTTGACCCGTTACGGATTTCGAGGAGTATGTTGGTAGAATACTCGAAGTTGTTAGTCAGATACTCGTGAGGAGAGGCTTGAACGTTTTCAGGTATATCAAAGATTAAGCTTTGACCTGCGTGACTGAAGTTTTCTTCAATACAGGCAGTGTGAGGAGTTACTGTGAGGCGGTCCTCCTCCTCCTCCTCTTTTTAATCTAGTTCACTTTCACTGTCAGAGAGGTATTTTCTTTTCCTAGGACGCACTGGTTCACTATTACTCACGCGTCTTTTCCTGTTTCGAGATGCTGGGGGTGGGGGTGTTCGACGGTGAGACGGGCCGGCGCGGGGAGAGGGGGGGGGTCCATCCTTGGAGGAGGTAACCTAGCAGACGTGGATTCACTGCCAGCACCCTCTAAAATTGGATAAAACACAAAAAACATCAACCTTACTATATCATGGATGTGAAAAATACATTGAGTCTTGACAGTTTTGTCCCGACACAAACATAATCAACTTACATTTAACAGTACATTAAGATGGGGATATTGCTTACCATAATGACAGATTTTTCTCGATCGTGGAGGGGGTGGCCTAGCAAACGGGGATTCACCGCCTTCACCCCCGGTTTGTATTCTATTGTTTGTGTCCTACGCCCTCTGAAACTGGATAAAAGCAAAACATCACCTTTATGACACATTCTTACTATATCATCGATGTGGTAAAAACAATAATTCTTTGCAGTAGTGCCTCGGGAAAGAAAAACAACAACAACACATTAAGATGGGAATTGCTTACCATAATGACAGATTTCCTGGTGCTGATACATCGACCTTGCAGAAATGTAATGACCACATGTCATACATTGAAGGCATATGTGCGCCTGCTTGTCCGATTTCTTTCTTCTACAAAGGACGCAATAGTCGCGCGCCATGATAATTGTTATTGGCGGTGTTGGCTGACGCGGGTAAGTGTCAGATATGATCGGGTAGGGGATTGTTTGGTGGTTATATAACCCCCAGGTCAGTACCATCCTGGCGCACGCACAAACACACACACACACACACACACACACACACACACACACACACACACACACACACACACACACACACACACACACACACACACACACACACTTACACACACACAC